CAGCAATTCCCCAAGCCTCCCCCTTGTCTCCAGGTGCCCAACATTGCCCAGTGCTCCCCAGTGCCTCCAGTGCCTGGAGATCCCAGTCACGGGGCTGTTCCCACTGCCCAGGTCCCCCATTGTTCTCCCACCCAAGGAGTGGGATTTTCCCAAATCATGTGCAGTGGCAGCCCCTTCCTTCCCCATGGGGCTGGAGTGGAACAGGGACAACTGTGGACAGACATGCTGGTCTGGGGCCTGGGTGTGCTCTGGGGTGTCCCAGAGGGAAAGCTGTGGGAAGGGATGGGCAGGAGGACATGGGAGGATGGATTGTGTTGTTGTGGGATTGTCCCCACAGGGTATGCAGCTGCTTTCAGCTCCCTGCCCACCCCCCTGGCACCCCCAGGGGCCTGGGCCCTTCCAGGGCAGCTGCCCCGTGCAGGAAGCTGGAGGGATGCCGGGGAAGGTGGCTGGATGGGTGCCGCAGGCGGGATGGACTCTGTGCCAGGGCTGGGCTTGTGGCCAGGGCTGGGGGCTGTGCCCAGCCGGGCTTTGCCCCGGGGGCTCTCGGGGAGGGGGCAGGGAGGAGTCCCGGCAGGGATAAATGTGCTCCTGCCCTTGTGCAGCCTCAGCCAGCGCTGCCCAGGCCCAGAGGAAGATGAAGGTCGCTGTGCTCAGCGTGGCCCTGCTCTTCACCATCCTGCTGAGCCCCCCAGCAGATGCCAAGGTGAGGCCCCCATGCCACGGGTGTGGGCTCAGGGCTGGGGATGCTCCTGTCTGCAGGAGAGCAGCTCTGCTGCAGGATGGAATCGGGGCTGTGATCCCAAAACTCCTTGCCTTGGCCTCTCCCTCTCCCAGTCCAGGGGATCCTCAGCTCTCCCTGACCTCCAGTGCTGGGCACTGCAGATGCTCCCTCCCACTCTTCCCCCTCTTCACTCCACTTCCACTGCAAATCTCCCTGTGCCCAGAGCCCCAGATGCTCAGGGAACCTGACCAGGGAGGTCCCTCACAAGGGAGGGCCACTATCAATTGCTGGCAGGGCCCCCACCTCTTTCTTTTTATGGTGCTCCCAAATCCCACCCTCTTGGGCCTCCCATCCCATCCTTTTTGGTCCCCTCAGGCATCTCCTCCCCAGGATCTGCTCTGTGTCCTACCCAGGGTCCCCAAACATCCTCCCACTGATCATTCCCAAACTTTTTCTTTCCGTCTTCCCCTCAGACCTTTGCCTTTCACCCAGGCCACTGCCCTGGTACCTCCCAAGACCATTCCTTGCCTCCCTCTCCACTCCCAACCATCTCCCAGTGCCCTCGTTTTTGTCCTCCTCCATCCTCCTCCTCCTGTCCCCCCCAAGCCTCTCCCTTGCAGTCCCCCCATCCCTACACTTGAATTCCTTTCCCCTCCCCTGCATCCCACACAGGGTCCCTTCAACACCCCAATCCCAGTCCCGTGGGCTCCCCAGTTCCCCCCAGTTCAGCATCTTTGGGTCCCCCCCGATGTCCCCCCACCGTCCCTGCAGGCCCTGAATTTCCCTGGCTCTCCTTGTCTCCATCCCCACCCTGGGCCCTGCAGGCACAGGGCTTGCAGGTGAAACTGGGTGCAGTGGGACTGGGGGGAGCAGAAGGGATTTTCCCCCTCAGACGGGGGCAGCCCTGGGCTGGGGGGGCTGGGGACACCCGTGTGCCTCCCCCAGCCCCACAGGGGCCGATCCTGAGCAACCCTTTGCTCTCCTTGCCCAGGCACTCTTGGTAGGAACCCAAAATGATGTGCAGGAGGTGAGTGGGCCGGGGGGACTGGAGGGCATCCAGTCTGGGAACTGGGGAACACTTTGGTCCCCCCATCCCTCGCTGGCACCGGGGACATCCCAGTGACCAGCCAGGGCTCCTGGTCTCTCTCCAGATTGATTTAGTGGACGTTGGGATCCTGGAGACGGCTCAGGTGGGTACCAGGAGTTCTGCCTGAGTCAGGTCTTTCCCTCACACGGCCATGACACTCCCGGCCATCCCAGTCTGACCCAGCACACTCCAGTGCACTCTACTGCCTCCCCAGAGAACACCCTGCCCCCCAGAATTTTCCCAGGAACCCACTTCTCAATAGCCCCTGTTGCATTCCAATCCTTGACACCACAGGACCCCCCCAGATGCCCCAGGATCATCCCCTCCCCCAGCTGTGCCTCTTTGCCAGGACCCCCCAGTGCTCATGGGCAGGACCACACAAGCTCCTGGACCCTGTTTCTGCCCAGAGGCACCTTCCCCAAGGACCCCATTGCTTGCCCCTGGCTCCCAGTACATCCCAGTTCAGCCCAGTGTGTCTCTGAGCCTGTCTTTGTCCCCAGCCCCCTGTGCTTGAGGAGGAGGGGGATCTTCTTCGTAAGAAACTCTTGGGTGCAGTCAGGATTCGCTGAGGTGAGCAGTGCCTGCAGGGAGAGGGGGCAGGACAAGGCCCCTCTCGTGTTGCAGTGGCCTTTGGGGGGGACGATTTGGGCTCTGTCTTTCAGGACTGGTGGTGACACCCGTGCCCTGTCCCCCTCCAGCGGCATGAGGAGATGATCATCCCTGGAAGAACCCCCTGAATTCCCTCAGAGCCCAGGGCCATTTCCCCTGAATGATCAATAAATCCCTTCAGCAAAGCTACTCTGCTTGATCTTGTGTGTGTTCCCATCTCCATGTGTGTGTGTTCCCATCTCCACGTGTGTGTTCCCATCTCCACGTGTGTGTTCCCATCTCCACCTGTGTGTTCCCATCTCCATGTGCAGGTTCCCATCTCCACGTGTGTGTTCCCATCTCCATATGTGTGTTCCCATCTCCATATGTGTGTTCCCATCTCCGTGTGTGTGTGTTCCCATCTCCATATGTGTGTGTGTTCCCATCTCCATGGGTGTGTTCCCATCTCCATATGTGTGTTCCCATCTCCATATGTGTGTTCCCATCTCCGTGTGTGTGTGTTCCCATCTCCATGTGTGTGTGTTCCCATCTCCATGGGTGTGTTCCCATCTCCATATGTGTGTTCCCATCTCCATATGTGTGTTCCCATCTCCGTGTGTGTGTGTTCCCATCTCCATGTGTGTGTGTTCCCATCTCCACGTGTGTGTTCCCATCTCCATATGTGTGTTCCC